CATCCTGCAGATCTTTTTATTTTTTATTTTGATACAGGATCTCACTAAGTTGCTTAGGGTCTGGCTACTTTGCTGAGGCTGTCCTTGAACTTGTGATCCTCCTTTGTCAGCCCCCTGAGGCAGGATTACAAGAACACCACTATGCCTGACTAACCTTGTTTATTACAGAAACTTTCAAATATATGCCATATTCAAAAGGAAAACATAACAAACTTACATGTGCCCACTACCCAGCATTAACAACTACCACCACTTTGTATATATTTCATATTCAACTAATAAGAACTCAAAGAAACAAAGCATGGAGATTATCTTTGGGTGTTAAAATGCTGGGACTCAGAATTCTTCTCACTGAAAACAAGCCTGGCTCCAGAACCTCACTGGCTGGCCTGAACATACAAATGGGGAATAAATGGGCCCAATTAGTAGAGTTGTCAGGAAACAGTGACAGGAAGGAAACAGCACAAAGCATTCCAAGGCCTGCTTCTCCCTGGCTGGGTGAAAGGCCAAGTCACAGAAAGGAATGGAGGGGGGCAGGAGTGTGGCTGAGCTCTTCTCCTTAAGTTTTTCTCCAAGAGGATTTGTAAGGAGGCCCAGCTCTGAGGCTTCCTCTGGTGGTTGCAGGAATCCAAAGGTTCAGGCAAAGAAGGACACAGCAGAGCTGTGAACCAGCAGAGGCTGACTGGAGACATTAGGGAGGCTGCCTGTTAACTTAATCTGCAGTACAGTCATCAAGAGGATGTATAGCTCTTTGCCAAAAGCAGAAAAAAATGTTGGTGGATAGAATTTCCCCTATTTCACGTTTCTTTATTTTTTGGCAACTTCAGGGTCTACATCTTAGTGTAGCAGGTGAGATAGGAGAAGGTACAGACAAGGGGACCCAGTGTTAATTGTTCCCAAGAACAAGAGCACTGAGGTGGCCCTTTTGCTTTGCCCATGACCACAGCAGCTTCCCGTTCTCCAGCCCTTCCCAGGGGCCAGCGCTTTTACATGCACAGCCTCATTTAATCTCACAGCAGCCTGCAGGAGGCTGGCAGACATTCTGATTGCTTCAGTCATGAGTTGAGGCTCAGAGAGGTTGGGTGATGCTCCCATGCTCCCTTATTGAGTGGCAGAGCTGCTAAGGCTTGTGCTCTTGAGCACAGCCACAGTGCTGCCCTTTCCACATCCTCCACCCTCTGCATGAATAGCTGCAAATAAAGCGAGTAACTAGCAAAGACCAGCACTCATTCTGCCTCCATGTGTCCTGACACATGCCCTGCACTGGGCTGAATAACGTACCCCCCCCCCCCGGAACCTGAGGATATCACCTATTGGAAATAAAGTCTTTGTAAACATAAGGAGTTAAGTTAAAATGAGCTCAGGCTGGATCAGGGTGAGCCCTAAATCCAATATGACCGATGACCTTTTAAGAATAGCAGTAACAGACACACAGGGAGAAGTCCTTGTGACAATGGGAGCAGAACTTTGCAGGCCAACACCAGAAACCCCAGTAGGCAAGGCCTCCTGGAGGTGCTCACCTCCAGACACCTCCATTCAGACCTGTGGCTTCCAGTACTCAGTTTCCATTGTTAGGTCACCTGGTTTGCAGTGACTTATTACCACAGCCCTAACAATCTAACCCAGGCACTGTTTGTTTGTCTGCATTCTTCCGTTGTTCCTCGCAGAACCTGTGAATTGGTAATCATTTTGCAGATGAAGGAAGTGAAAGCCAGAGAATGTGAGACACCTGACCAAAGGCACCCAGCTCATGACCTGAAGAGCCAGGATTCAAACCCAGCTGGTTTCCTCCCGCAAAGCCTGCTCGACCTGCGCCGCGCCTGGTTTAACACTTGGGTTGACCTCTCCCCTATTTACTGGTGCTCTGAAAAGACCCTGGGGGCTGGCCAGGGGTGTTCTGCTCCCCAGCTATATTTCAAAGCACTGTTGGAGCGTGTGGAGAAATCAAAACCAAAAGCACACAACCACCTCCCAGGGTATTTGCTTAAGGTCTTGCACATCGGGCTCATTTGGAAAACCTCTGTGTCTCACCCTCATGGTTTATTCATTTACAGAAAGATCACTTTGTCTGAGCTGTTGCTCCTTATTCCTGCCCATGTCAGTCCTGCGCCAACGAGAGTACCGCCATCTATTGGTGAGTCCCTTGAACTTCACTTGAAAGCCCTTGGGAGGGTGTGGCTAGGGCTTCAGGGAGACAGCGGGTCACCTGGTCACTGCTGCACCACAGGATTTGATAGGGCAGGAGAGGAAAGGCCACAAGGCCTTGGGGCACAGGAAAGGAGAGCCTCAGCTTTGACCATTTTGCTGCAATTCCCAGGGTGGTCTGCAAGTTTATTAAATTGGACATCAGGGAAAATCGAACCCAGGGAGAAACTGCAGGCATCCCCAGGTGGCGCGAGCGTGCGCGAGCAAGCGATCTGCTGTCACTTTGAACCGCCACAGAAAGGGAGAAAGCAGGAAAGGGAAGAGGGATGAGTCTGAGGCTTGAAGCATGGTCAGGAGCTGTGCTCGGGGCTCCCGCCGCTGCGCCGCTGCATCCGGATGCCACACAGGGAGCCAGGCACAGAAGGAGCAGGGACAACCCCGGTCCTGCGGAGCAGGAACTGCACTCCCAGCCAGCCTTTGAGCTCCTGGGCCGCTCTCTGCCCTTTGCTCTCGCAAGAGCAAAAGCCTGGCTTGGAGGGAAGTAGGAAAAGTAGCGCAGGAGGCGCCACACAGCACTGGGGTCACATCTCCAGAGAGATGGCTTTCACAAGTGCTCAGATCTGCTGGGGTCACCTGGAAAGGCCTCTGGGAAATCGCCCTGGGCACACTTTTGGAATCCCAAAGAATGACCTTCCAGAGTGCCCGTGAACCCACTGGGGCCCTTATTGCATGCACCCTGATGTTTCTTTTTAATACTATGATTTAAAAAAAGAAAGAAAGAAGGAAGGAAGGAAGGAAGGAAGGAAGGAAGGAAGGAAGGAAGGAAGGAAGGAAGGAAGGAAGGAAAGAGAAAGAAAGAAAGAAACCTTTGGGCACTGGTCTCTGGAACTGGGAGGCCATGTTGCAGCTCCCCTGGTCTGGCGGTAAGGTCCTTCTGATTCACCTTGCCCCCGTAATAGCCACACAACCCTTACCACAGACTACTTCCTTGGGGACAACGGGGGGCATTCCCATTCCCTGAACCCTCTCAAAACCTCTGGCACCTGCTCCTCACCCCCATGTGCCCTGTGAGCTCCTCCTCTAAGTGGCTCACTGGGCAATCTGTGCTCAAGGCCTACCATAGGGTCACTTGTGGAAAGGGACCAGGGGGTAAGTCATGAGCCCACTTTCAGAGTGTCTTGAGGCAGTCCTGGTCATGGATCCCTTTTGACTTTGAGGAACACTGGGTGCTTGTGACATGAATTGGTATTTGTGTATGTGGATGGAGAAGTCCTGCTAGCTGGTTGGGAATAGATTTGCTGTGTGACTGTTCCTATTGTCACCCTCATGGGACTCACCACAACAACTAAGTAACCAGCCTAAGGCTCAAAGCTTTCTTCTGAGTTCTGGAGGTGCATGAGATTGAGGTGCTGATGTTTCCACATGTGGATTTGGAGGAATGTGGATACACAGCTATTCTTCCACAGCAGTTTGGACCTAGAAATGTGATCTAGGTGGGATTTGTTACAAATGCCCAATAGTAATATGGACAGTTCCTACCCTTCATAAATGACCTCTGTTATGGTTTATATCTACAAATGCTCCCCCCAAAATGCTCATGTTTAAAAGCATGATCCCCATTGCAGGAAAGTTCAGAGGTGGGTCTTTAATCAATGATGAGAGCTATAACCTCATTGGTGGATTATTCCATTTGATGAATTAACAATTTGAATGGACTATTGGGTATAACTGTAAGCAGGTGGGACATGGCTGGAGGAAATAGATCATTGGAGGTGTGCTCTTAGGAATTATATATCTTCTCTCTGACTCCTAGCATGCACATATTCTCTCTCTCTCTCTCTCTCTCTCTCTCTCTGCATTTATATATATATATATATATATATATATATATATATATATGTGTGTGTGTGTGTGTGTGTGTGTGTGTGTGTGTGCGCGCGCACGCGAAAGTCCTGGCTTTAGCCAGGCACCTATTTGGAGGAGCTCTCTAGACAGAGGGAACACCCTGTGGACAGATTGTGAGGTAAGACTGTACCTGATATGTTCATGGAAAAGCTGTGTTTGGTGTGGAGGAAATCAGGGCTAGAATACTGGGAAATGTGAAGAGAGTGGTCACAGAGTCAGGTTGTGTAGCTAAGAACTTATAGTTCTCAGCTTTTCCTGTGCATGATGTGTGAAGTCCCTGAGGGTTTAAAGGATGGAAATATATATATATATATATACATATACATACATACATATACATACACACACACACACACACACACACACACACTTCCTGGTACTAAGAGTTCAGCAGCTTTCCTCTACCGCAATGTTCTTCCTCACCTCAGGCTGAGAGCAATGGAGTGGGCCCTCCCATAAACTGAACCTCTAAAACCATGAGCACAAGGTAAACATTTCCTCTAAGTTTTCAGGTATTTCATCACCAACTTTTTGTCACTGTGACCAAAATACCTAACACAGAAATTGGTACCAAGAAGTTGGGTGATTGCTGCAAGTTAACTGGCCATGTGGTTCAGAAGCCTTTGGAGTTGATTTTTCATGAACTTTGAGAAGTTCAGAGATGCAAGCTGGAAAAGCTTTAGAATGTTGTAAGCTAAATGGGCAATTCTAGTGGGAGCTCAGAAGACTAGGATATTAATAGGAATGTAGACAGTAAAGACTGGGCACAAGAGATTTCAGAGAATGAGGACGCTACTGGGAACTGAACCAGAGGCCATTTGTGTTATATCTTGGCAAAGAGCTTGTCTGCCGCAGTCTGGCTGGGCACAAATTATGAGCCACTGAAGCAGGAACAAACTATTTCTGAACTCCACCAGCACACTCCACACACGCTCCCCGGGAATTCTCGAATGCCGCGTGCCTCCTCCAGGAACCACCAACGGGAAATATCCCACCTCTGGCACTTCCCCAACCAATGGGAGCTCTCCGGGAATCCCGTGAGAGCTCAAGCGGAACTCAACGGGAACTCCGCCAGAACTCAAAAGTCATCATCTTAATGGCTCGCTAGCCTCACCTCTCAACCACTACTTCTGGCAAAAATGCCATGCATCATCGCCGACTCGGCTGTGGCTCTCAACACTTGTCTACATTTTGCCCATGTCTTGAGAGTTTCTATGAGGCTGAATTTAAAGATAATGGACCAATTAATCTGGTGGAGGAAATTTCAAGGCAGTCACAATATTCAAGATGAGAAATGTGATAACAAAGGAAACAGACAAGGGAAGCTGTCCATTTTCTATATATTTCTCCTGCTTGTAGGTATGGTGAAGTCTAACATTTTGTCCCTGCCTACTGTTGCCAAGGAACACATGGATAAATAAAATGTCCAAACTTTCTTCATTGAATCCTCCAAGTTCTTTCTTTAGGATTGAATAGCAATAACTTTTATCTTGCAGCCCTGAGATTGAACACATCCAGTACCTTCCTAATAGCTTATTGCTCCATGCTTTGGCCCCCTAGAGCCTATTCACAACCAAGAAGCCAGAGGGATTCCCCAAGGCTCCAAACCCTTCAGGCACTTCACACATCATGCACAGGAATAGCTGAGAACTATAAGTTCTTAGCTACACAACCTGACTCTGTGACCACTCTCTTCACATTTCCCAGTATTCTAGCTCTGATTTCCTCCACACCAAAYACAGCTTTTCCATGAACATATCAGGTACAGTCTTACCTCACAATCTGTCCACAGGGTGTCCTCTCTGTCTAGAGAGCTCCTCCAAATAGGTGCCTGGCTAAAGCCAGGACCTCTTTCAATGTGTTGCTTACCTGTTGCTTTATAATGATGCCTATTCTAGCTAGTCTCTTCTAAAATGCAATCCAACCCTTCTCTCCAGCCCCTCTGGAATGCTCTCACCCTGCTATATTTTCTCATTGCATTTATTACCTTTCAACATATCAAGTATTTTACTATTTTTGTTTTGTTTTGTTTGTTTTGGTTTTTGTGTGGGTGTGGTACTGGAGATTGAACCCAGAGGTGCTTTACCACTGAGATACATCTCCAGCCCTTTTTATTTTGAGATAAGTCTTCACTAAGTTGCTGAGGCTGGCCTCAAAACTTGTGATCCTCTTTCCTCAACTTCCTGAATGGCTGGGATTACAGGCGAGAAACAGGCCTGCAACACCAAGACCAGTTACTATCTCTTTCATTTTTTCTCCTTTATCTTCCTGTTGTGAGAAATTACCAACACAGGGCCAAGATAACTTGCCCATTTTTTTAATGGTTAATTCCAAGTGCTCAGAGCAGTGCCTGACTCGTGGTCAGTACTCAACAAATACTAAATGAAAGAATAAATCTAATACATATGGTTAAGTAACAGGCATCATTGGATGAGCAATGAATAAGTGGTGGTAATGATCATCAAAGAATTCCATGATAAAGCACTGCCAGGTTCATCAAGGGAGTTCTAACATAGAAGACAGGCACAAAGCATCCCTAAAATGGTTTATATACCCACTGGCCTTCAAAGGATCCCTAGTGAAGAGTAATTACTGATCACCAATCCTTATATACTAAGCATCATTCTGGATTTTTTGTTTGAGCAGCCTGGGGGCAAGTTTCTGCCATACCTCTCAAGCCAGACCTCTGGTCCTTCCAGGGAACCCCATGGAACATATCTCCTTTACCCTGGGCACACTCCTGGGACATTCCTAATGAACCCACAGCTTGGATGGGTGGAGCTATGACTTCCCCCACCCCCCACTTTTTATTGGTCACAGACACACACATGATCACCAGCTACATCCCCATTGGCTGGAAGGTGAAAAGAGGCGGCCCTGCATGAGCCCTCTCAGGATAAAGAGGCTGAGGCACACCTGAGAGCTTCCGTAGGGGCGCCATATCCCTGGCCCTCTCAGGCATCCTAACCATTTGGCGATCCCTTCTCACAGAGTCTGAGGAAAAGAAACAGGGGTCCCTGAAGAGTCGCTGTGTGATCATAGGGCGTGCCCAGAGAGAAGGCCTGGTATTTGGTCTGTGTGGCGAGGGCGGCAGCCAGGCCTCTGGTGACAGCACCATGCTCGGAATTCTGAGAAGGTTTATGGCCTTCTTTCAGAGGAGGGAAAACCCTAATAGACATCTGGGGCTCCCACAAGGTAGTTATCTGAGTCCCCTTGTCCACTATGTGAGAAGTCTCCTCAGAGGGATCTTCTCACCCCTGATCGGGAACCATGGGGCTTTACCACTGAGATACATCTCCAGCCCTTTTTATTTTGAGATAAGTCTTCACTAAGTTGCTGAGGCTGGCCTCAAAACGCTAGGGATGTGTATAACCTTATGTGTGTGGGGGGTGGAGAGATTGTCACTAAGTCCCCCAGAATTAGGCCAACATCGACTAATGCCTTTAACTGTCCTGTTGATCCAAAGTGGGAAGGTGTTTGGATCAACACTGAGACCATCCCCGCGTTTCCCTTGGTGTGAAGCCATTTTACACTTTTGGGGATGTGAACCACCCTGATTTGAGGGTGAATTTGGTTTCCTGTCCACACCATGAACTTGAAGCCAAGTCAGTCACACGTGTGAAAGCAGGAGCCGCATTTAATATGTTCACTTTGTATCCTAAGCTCCTGCCAGCTCTGGCACCAAGTGGGCATTCGGGGAGAAAGGGGTGTGATGGGGGAATGCGGAAGCACTGATTGAGGTGTGGCGTGTGGTGGGTGCGAGTCCAATCAAACATGGGAAGGTTCGCTGTATGGATGGCATCCGTGCTCTGAATTACATTGATTCTAGTTTGTGTCCAGCACTTATCTGGCTTTAAGGGCTGCATGTCATTAATACCTACAAACCCCCCATGAGAGAAGTCTTAGTATTGTCCATCTATGGGTCAGTTAGGGATGCGAACAGGAAAGCAAGGGCACACAGTTACTGTGCAGTCCCCCAGAATTCACACCCCACACTCAGATCCAGCAGTATCTCTCATCCTGTGCTCCACCCTGAGGGTGTTTCCCCATGAACAAATTCAGTGTCTTAGGAGGGTGGTGGAAGAGACTCCCTGGGAAGGGCCCTGTCTTCCTGGCCTGGGATCTTCTGAGGCTTCTTTGCCAGTAGAGTGTGAACCCCCAGGAGAGGTGGGTGGGTCACAGCAAATCTTGCTAGAGAAGGTAATTTCTCTATGCTTAGATGACGTCACTTACCATGGCATCCATTGTTACCTCTACTTTGTTTTGGGGGGATGGGGGCGGCAGGCAGGTGCTGGGGATTAAACCCAGAGGCACTCAACCACTGAGCCACATCCCCAGCCCTATTTTGTATTTTATTTAGAGACAGGGTCTTACTGAGTTGCTTAGTGCCTCGCTAAGTTTCTGAGGCTGGCTTTGAATTTGCAATCCTACTGCTTTAGCCTCCCATGCCTGGCCACTTATTACCTCTACTTTTATCAACAGGGATCCATAGAAGGGTATAACAAGTTTTCCATGTGCCTGAGTGACAGTTGTCTTCTTTGTCCTTCATTTTTATTCTGGGATATGATGTAATACATTTAATCTGGTTTCTTTTCCAGTTTGCCAGATTTTCTTGACTTTTATTTTCATAATCTAGTATAATCCAAAATTTCCCAGCCTTTCTTTCTATCCACCCAAGTCATTAGGTCAGCAGCTTTGGCGTTGTGATTCAGAGCTCCAGTGCTGCAGGCAAATTGTCCCAGGTCAGATCCCAAAATACCACTTACCAGCTAGGCTTGTTTAGAAAAAACAAACCCCCCTGGTGATTCAGTTGCACTTTTCAACTAGACTTAATCCCTGATATCTTTTATTGCTCTGGTGAGATGTTTAAAGATCCCCATATGTTGCTTCTCATTATGGATATGAAAATGATAAAGTTATATAATAATACATCATTATAAATTTATATAATAAAGTTATATACTAATATATAATACAATTGTATATTAGTGTTAATTAAATCATATATTAATAAAGTTAAACCACTTAATAATATATAATAAAGTTATATAATAATGGTCAATTAAGGCTCTCTATGTACAGATATGATGACAACAACAACATTTGCACTCTAACATGTGCAAGATACTCAGGGTTCTAAGCAGTGACATGCATGTGCAACAGAAATTAGGTAAACATTGGGATTGTTCTTGTTTGACAAATCAAGATCAGAGAGATTAAGAAATGTGCTCAGAGCTACAAAGTTGGTCAGTGTAGGAGCTATGGTTAAAAACCAGGCAATCTTCATCTGGACAGTACAGTCCTAATGATGGCCCTACGCTGCCTGTGGTAGGAGGCCACTGTCACTATGCTGTACAGAGAAATAAGGCAGCCAGGATTTGAACTTGGCCCTCTGCCTCCAGATGCTTGCACAAGTCACCATTATGCTCTAGGACTATGTCATCAGTATCTCAAAACTCAGCCATTTAATTTCTAGAAGTAGATCTGTATCTTCCTCTGGTAGGACTCTTTTGTAATGTGTGTTTGCTTTTGAAATTAATTAATAGAACCTGTTGTTTACCCATCCCATAGGTGACACCAAATTGAAAACTGTGCAGGGAGTTGTGACAAGTTTATGTGACGATTATGGCTTGATTGATGAGTCCATCTACTTCAGTACTAATATAGTGACTGAAAACATGCCTCTGAAAATTGGACAGAAAGTTACTGCAGTTGTGGAAGAAGATAAAACATCTGTTGAATTGAAAGCAACCAAAGTAAGATTTTCATGAGTTTGGGAATGGTCTCTTTTCTAGTGGGCTTTTTTTTTGAGGGGGGGGCACTAGGAATTGAACCCAGGGGCACTTAACCACTGAGACAGAGTCCCAGTCCTTTGTATTTTTTATTTTGAGACAGGGTCTTGCTAAGTTATTTACAGCCACACTAAATTGCCAAGGCTACCTTTGAACTTGTGATTCTCCTGCCTCAACCTCCCAAGCCCCTGGGATTATAGGCATGCACCAGCCACCACACCCGGCTCCTAGTGGATTTTCAATCTTGCTTTTTTTGGTGCCAGGAATTGAACCCAGAGGTGCTTAATCACGGAGCCACATCCCCGTCCCTTTTTATATTTTATTTTGAGACATGGTCATGCTAAGTTGCTTAGAGCCTCACTAAATTGCTGAGGCTGGCCTCAAACCTGCTATCCTCCTGCCTCAGCCTTCTGAGTCACTGGCATATGTCACTACACCTGGCACTTTCTTCTTTTAATCCCAACTCTGTAATGTGACCTTTACAGTGGATGTAGAGTGGAATTTGAAGTCTCACTCCCCTGAAGCTGTACATTCTTTTGTAATGGGTGTTCTAATATTTGTAGTGATTTCTGTTTTTTGTTTTTTATTTGTTTGAGACAGGGCCTGGTTATTAAGCCATCCTGCTGACTCTGCCATATCTGCTTTGGCACTTCTTATATTTTAAATTTTTGAGACAAGATCTCACTCTGTTTCCCAGATTGATCTTGAACTCCTGGGCTCAGGCTATACTCTTGCCATAGGTTCCATTGTTTCACATTTTCTGGGGCTATGACTCAGTGGCATAGTGCTTGTCTAGTATGCACAAAGTTCTGGCTTTGATTCCCAGCATGAAAAAAAAGGTAAAAGTAAAAAACAAAAACCCCCAACCAAAGCCATCCCCCCAAAATCATTTTCTATAGTATGAATTCATGTAAGTAGAATTGCTGTCTCAAATGAAAAATATTTGAAACTTTTAAAAATAGCTTTAATGAGGAATAATTTACATACCATAAATTCTCCCATTTTAAGAGTACAATTCAATGACTTATTTGTAGATTTACAGAGGCATGTAACTATCACCACAGTTCAGATATTTAACATTTTGATTCATATTATCAAATCATCTTTTTGCTTCATTGTACTAATTGACACTGTTACCAGCAGGCTATAAGATGACCTGTTTGTCAGTACTGGCAAAGATGAGAATATAATCAATGTGAAGTCTTTGCCATTCTTAGAAGTGAAATGCAGTCTCATAATTTTATTTAGAATTTCTCTAAGCCTTAATGAGACTATGGCAACTTTTATTTTCTCAGAACTATTTTTATATTAGAGACATTATAGATATTTCTGTCAAAAAAAATAAAGTACATTATGAAAATTTGGATTCAAAGGTTTTGCAATTACTTTCACAGTACCATCTTTTGACTTCTAAAATGTTCATTTTTTAAATATATATTTTTATATGTTGACAGACCTTTATTTTATTCACTTATATATGGTGCTGAGAATCAAACCCAGTGCCTCACACATGATAGGCAAGTGCTCTACCAATGAGCCCCAGCCCCAGCCCTAGAGTGTTCATTTTTAATACCTTTATTTTATTTATTTTTTATTTTTATTTTTATGTGGTGCTGAGAATTGAACCCAGGGCCTCACACATTGTAGGTGAGTGCTCTACTGCTGAGCCACAACCCCAGCCAATAGAGTGCTCATTTTTTATGTACCATTATGATCTCCATATTCTCTATGAGGCTTTTGAGTTCAGTAAAAATTCTTAGAAAAGCATACTGCAATTCATAATTCACCAAATAGTCTCTCCTGTGATTTTTATCTATTTACATGTAAACATTCAGCAAGCCTGGCTTGATTTGTGTGTGTAAACTGAAAGAAGGATTCATATCTTGTTTTGCTAATTGCTACCCAATTGTACCTTATGATAATATTGGATAGTCCACTTTGACCCTTGTGTTAACTTTTTGTTGCTGTGGCCAAAATACCTAAATATAATTCAGAGGAGGAAAAGTTTCAGAGGCTAAGTCCATGGTCAGTTGATTCCCTTGCTGATTCTGAGGTGAAGCAGAATGCCATGGCAGAGGGGAATGGTGGGAGAAAGCTTCTCAGCTTATGGCAGCCAGGAAACAGAATGAGAGAGAAGAAGATATCATGGACAGATATAGTCCAGGCCATGCTCCCAGTGACCTACTTCCTCTAGCCACACCCATCTACCTATAGTTATCACCCAGTCAGTTCATTCAAACTAGGATGGACTTGTTAAGTTACAACTCTCACAATCTATTCATTTAATCTCTGAACATTGCTACATTGACTAACACATGAGCTTTTAGGGGACATTTTTTAGATCTAAACCATAACATTCTGCCTCAGCCCCCAAAAGCTCATGTCCATTTCATAATGCAAAATGCATTTAGTCCATCTCCAAGAGTCCCCAGAGCCTTAATAATTCCACATTGCTCAAAAGTCTAGATTTAGTCTCCTCCAAGACTCAAGGCAAACACTTAGCTGTGAGCCCTTGTAAAAATCAAAAGCAAGTCAGATACACCCAATAAACAGTGACACAGAAATTTTCCCATTCCAAAAGAGAGGAATAGGGAATAGAAAGAAGGGATGACACCAAAATAAGATTTAAACCCAGCTGGGCAAACAAGTCCTATAGCTCCACATATGGCATTTATCATCCAGGGCACATGACAGCATGTAATTGCCAAAGGGCTTGTGCAACCCTGTCCCTATGGTCTTGTCAGTTGCACCCCACATGACCTTCTCTTGACCTGGCTCTGCTTGCTTCCTGTAGCTTTCCTCAGCAGACATTTCACTTTCTTGGTCTCTCTTAATTCCTGAGGTCTCCTTTCCAATTTTGGGTTCATTCTACACCTCTTTCATACTCACAAGCATTTGAATCTGTCTGCACTCCTTATTGAGCTAAAGAAACAGAATTTGGATAGCAAGAGTTTACATGAAACTTGGAGGAAAATTTAATGTGTGGTATGACTGTGAGCTAGTGTGGAATCAGGGCACAGAGTGATGAGAAGATGTAGCGAATTATCCTTTAGGGTACTAACAGGATGGCAGTAGATAGAGAGGGACCTGGTGCTTTATTCCTCAATGAAAATGAATCTGAGCCAAAAGATCATGAGATTGGTATGGGGAGCTAGAAATATACCAGTTAACTTGGCTGTTTTAAAAGCACAAAAAATAACTTACAACTCAATGGTTTGTTTCCATTAGAAACCTCTGAACAAGAAATTCTACTGATTATAGTTTATTGTACAGAAATAAATCAGGCTAGTGGCAATGTATTAGGATACAAGTTAAATGTCCAAAGTGGAATTAGATCCATAAATTATGGTCCACCCACTCTTTGAGATGCCTTATTTTCTTTACAATAACCTCATGTTCTATAAAAATGTTTGCAATCAGGTTGGGCATGGTGGTGCATGCTTGTAATCCCAGTGACCTGGGAGGCTAAAGAAGGAGGATTTCCATTTCAAGGCCAGCCTGGGAAATTTAGCTGAACTCTGTCTCAAAGTAGAAAGTAATAAGGACCAAAGCTTGGTGATAAAGTACCCCTGAATTCAATCCCAAGGACCCCCCAAAAATTGTTTGTGATCATTATGTGTTATTTTAACACTATATACAATGCTAACTTTTTATTTTAAAGTGGGGCATATATACATTTGTGTAGAAAAAATCTGGCTGGTAGTTTTCTTTAAGCAATGGAATTACATACTAGGGGCAATCACTTACTGCATTGTGCTTCTCTGTTTTTTTCTACTTTTTTTCTGTAATGGACATGAATTATTTCTTTAATTTTAAAAAATTAATATAAAAACTCTTACACTCACAATAAACAAAAATAGTTGCATGCTTTTCTGTCATAGACAAAGTAAGCCCTAATTTGATATGGTTGTATTACAACCCTTTCTCATTTGAAGTTACTTTTCCAACTGTATTTTATACTTCTTAAGAACTGGATCTTGGGGCTGGGGATGTGGCTCAAGCGGTAGCGCGCTCGCCTGGCATGCGTGCGGCCCGGGTTCGATCCTCAGCACCACATACCAACAAAGATGTTGTGTCCGCTGAGAACTAAAAAATAAAATATTAAAAATTCTCTCTCTCTCTCCTCTCTCACTCTCTCTTAAAAAAAATTAAAAAAAAAGAACTGGATCTTGAATATTATAGTTTTCCTCTATATTTCCCTAACTTGTGTTTGTTTTGTCTCTATCTCCCTGACTCGCCCCCACCCCCATCCCCATTTACCAGGTATACTCTCTATTTTTTTCTCAACCACACTCAAATCTGACTTCCTCCAAGTAGAGGAAGTATCCTAGTCTGAATTTTTCTCCCTCCTGGAAATTCCTGAAAGCAATTTTTGGACTTATTTTATATCCTATATCACAACTTCCTTAGAACTTGTCCCCACCTCCATTAAATTGTGAATTCCTAGAGGGCAAGGATAATATATATATATATATATATATTGGTACCAAGGATTGAACTCAGGGGCACTCGGCCACTGACCCACATCCCCCGCCCTATTTTGAATTTATTTAGAGACAGGGTCTCACTGAGTTGCTTAGCACTTCACCATTTCTGAGGCTGGCTTTGAACTTGTGATCCTCCCATCTCAGCCTCCCCAGCCACTGGGATTACAGGCATGTGCAACCGTGCCCAGCAAGAATAGTACTTTTTATCTTTGAATTTAACACTATTGATGCATTAAACTGGGGTGAGCAATTAAAATCTGGGAGTATATTGATGAATACATGAAGCACGGCATTATTTTTATCATATCATGTCTATGATCTGGTTGTCATGTGAACATATTCACTAGTATTGAACAATAGATGTTTAATATATTTCTTGAGCTGGGTGTGGTGGTGTACACTTATAATTCTAGCTACTGGGGAAGAAAAGGCAGGAGGATTGAAAGTTCTAGGTCAGACTGGGAAATTTATCAAGACTTGGCTCAAAATTAAAAATATAAATGGTTGGTAATGTAACTCAGCAATAAAGCATCCCTGGGTTCAGTCCCTAGCACTGCAAGATAAATCAATTAATTAATTAAATATTTTTAAATTTTCTTTGTTTATTTATTTTGGTACCCCAGATTGAACACAGAAGCACTTGACCACTAAACCACATCCTCAGCCCTATTTTGTATTTTATTTAAAGACAACTCTCACTGAGTTGCTTAGGCTGGCTTTGAACTTGCAATACTCCTGCCTCAGCTTCCTGAGCCACTACGATTACAGGCATGTGCCACCTTGCCCAGCAATAAAATATTTCTTGAATGACAATGTTTTAAGCATAAAATTCCCCTTTTAAAATTTCTGTTATACTTTAAGTAATTGTTTCCTTATCTTATAGGTGGATGTCATCCCTGATAATTTTGATGTCACTAAACCACTGGACTCCAAAATCAGAGTTTTAGTTGGTTATGTTACCTGTATAAAGAAAGATACTGTCTACATTGATAAAAAAACTTACTTCTCTATAGACATTGTTTCTGAAGGTATGATTTACCTTTTTAAAACATGTAGTGCTGGGCTGGGGATGTGGCTCAAGCGGTAGCGCGCTCGCCTGGCATGCGTGCGGCCCGGGTACGATCCTCAGCACCACATACCAACAAAGATGTTGTGTCCGCCGAGAACTAAAAAATAAGTATTAAAAATTCTCTCTCTCACTCTCTCTCCTCTCTCACTCTCTCTTTAAAAAAAAAACATGTAGTGCTAAATATTTTGAGAGGACCTGGAACTATTTCTGCAGTGTACTTGGCTCTAATCAGTGACTCTTTAATATTTGAGATGGAATTTTGGAATTGAAAATAATATACAATATAAGGATGTAAGCAGGTCGTATTTCTAAAAAGTCATACTATCATTTATGTTCATTAGTTGAATGCAATCAGTAATGTCTGGATAATTTTTCATTCATTAATTATTTAATTATCTTCATTAATTAAATAACTTCTATATAAAGACACTATTTTTAAAATATTCAAGTGCTTCAAAATAAGGTTGGAGACAGAACTATACCTTTCTGTGTGTGTGTGTGTGTGTGTATGTGTGTGTGTGTCCACTGTTGAATTCTATTAGTAATTAGCAGATGTTCTGAGATTTTGTTTATACCCAGAGTTATACTTTGGTTCATGTGCTTTCAGTTTAATGCAGTTGTCATGTAGCTTGGGTGTGAAAGGGGATATTAGTTTAGCCCCACCAGGCAGCTTGCTATTTTGATTTATGTGGTTGTAAAGCCAAGACTCTTACCTGAATTTTGTTATGAAATGTTCTGTCTGCTTTGTTTAGAAGGGACTATGTGGAGGCAAATGTGGAGTCAGAAAATTTGTTAGTAGCAAGTTGTGATAATCCTGACAAGAGATGTTGGAGACTTGGATGAGGTTGTAGAAGCAGAGGCTCTAAGGATCAATTTGATTCTGGTTTATTTTGAAATTAGAGATGAAGTATTGACTAATGAATTTGGACCTCTGGGTGAAGAAAATGGGAGTCAAAGTTAATTCCAATATTTTTTAAAATGTGTCCCTTTCTAGCTTTATTGAGGTGTGATTGATGAAATTTGTGTATATTTAGGATATGCAATCTGATATTGTATACCCTAGGGTACAGAGCTCAATATTTTTATATATGTATACATTGTAAATGATTTCCACAATCAAGTTAATTAACATACCCACGGCCTCACAGAATTACCTCGTGTGTGTGTGTGCACATGTGTGTAAGTGTGTGGTGAGAATACCTGATCTATTCTTTTAGCCAAGTTCAAGTATATAATACATTATTAACTATAGTCACCATGGTGCTCATTAGGTCTCCAGGGTTTATAACTGGTAGATTCTATTCTTTGACCTTTTTCTCTCTTTCCCTACCCGCCACTGCCCAGTTTCTAGTAACTACCGTTCTACAGGCTGTCAGGGTCCCTTCGATCCTCAGCACCACATACCAACAAAGATGTTGTGTCCGCCGAGAACTAAAAAATAAATATTAAAAATTCTCTCTCTCTCTCTCCTCTCTCACTCTCTCTTTAAAAAAAAAAAAAAAAAAAACAGAGGAAACCTCTGGAGTCCTGTGCAGGGCAGGCCACTGGAAACAACAGTGGCTTCCACTACATGGCAGATACTGATGGCTGACCCTTTTTCTTTGTTCCTAACCATCTCCAGACTTCTCAACTGGCAGTTTCCCAGCATTCTGGGTGGGTGGGGTGAATGAAGCTGGAGCAGGTCTTTCAGGCAGTGCCCTTTAATGCTGTGTAAGCTGGCTGTTCACCCCTCTCTTCTTTCCCTTCTAGGGGAACTCATGAGAAAAGAATTCCCTCTTCATGGTGAGGAGTGTCTGCATGAGACATTGGGTGATTCAGGAAAATGAAGTTATTCTTCTTGCCTTTTTGGTGCAATTTTCTCTCTCTCTCTCTCTCTCTCTCTCTCTCTCTCTCTCTTGGTTGGTTTGTTCTTTTAGGCACTGGGGATTAAACTCATGTGTGCTTAACCACTGAGCCACATCTCCAGCCCTTTTTTAAATATATATATATATATATATATATATATATATATATATATATTTCATTCAGAGGCAGCATCTCACTGAGTTGCTTAGGGCCTTGCTAAATTGCTGAGGCTGAATTTGAACCTGCAATCCTTCTGCCTCAGCCTCCTGAGCCTCTGGGATTATAGGCATGTGCCACTATGCCTGGTTATTGTGTATTTTTTAAAGTGGATTGCCGAACTCTTTTATTTATTTATTTTTTCTGTGCTTTTGTTTTGTTTTGTCAGGATTGAGGACTGAACTTGGGGCCTTGCATGTGCTAGGCAAGCACTCTGCCACTGAGCTAAATCCTTCACCCAACCCAACCAATCTCTTTTAGAGCTATTTTTTGATGGATAGTTGTCCAATTGTTGTTTGTGGGAGGAAAGAAGGCTTGAATCTTCTACTCTGGTATTTTGCCAATGTCACTCTATTCCTACGAGTAACTTCAAAGTTTTTTATTTGAGCAATAGGGTGGATGGAGTTGCCAATTTAAGATGTGCAAGACTGAAAGGAGGAAAATTGGGTGCATGAGAAGAACAGCAATAACTCAGCTTAAACATGCTACACTTGCATAAGCATGTGGATAATTGAATCTGAGGTTGGTTAGATCTGAAGGTATATACATTTTGAAGTTATCATTCCATGGATATTATATAAAGGCCCAATAAAGAAATGAATACAGATGAGAGAGAGAGAGAGAGAGAGAGAGAGAGAGAGAGAGAGAGAGAGAGAAGTGGTTCAAGACCTGTTTTGCGTCATTCCATATTGCTGGGGTCCCAGGATAAAGAAATGTTTAATCTTGTTGCTATTGCCAGTTTACTGGAGTCATTGAGCCAATTGATTCTTTCACCTGCAATGTTTGATATTTCCATTTACTCCAGGCACCTTTGTTATCCTGTGACTTACTTTTTACTTACTGTAAAATTCTTTTTGAAACTATATGTTTATAACCATAAATATTTAAGATAAATATTTGAGTTCATTAGCTGACCAAAACACCTGAGGAAATTAATTCATGCTTACAATCACAATATTTCCTAGTGCTTCTGCTACCCCTAATAGCAATCAACATTTACTTGGTGGTTACCACATGCCAGATATTATTCTGTGTGTTTTACCAATAGTGACTAATTGTCACAACATCTCTATGTAATATGAACTATGATTGTCCTTCTCGCTTTTAGATAAAGAAGCAGAGGCATAGGAAGATTAAGGACCTTTACTAAGGCTGCAAAGTGTCAGTTACAAAACTGGTAATGCAGTTATCAAGTTCAGACATATGTTTTACTTATACACTTGACTGTCTCTCTTGAAGGGGCATTGAATGTGACCAACTGTGTAATAAATTCTGTGCTATTCTTAAAGAATAGTTGATACTTTCCTTTGTTAAATCAGTAGAGGAAACTCAATGGCTAAAGGATTAAACATTTACTTTCTGACAAAGATTTACAAGATATCTATTTAAATCTGTGCAAAATAGGCTTTACATCTATTGAGAACTTATGAATTTTTCTCCATGGCTGTTTTAGGTTTTGTGCCTTATAAGGGTGACTGGTTAGAAGTTGAATATTCCACACAGCCAGGCACCTCAAACATCAAGGCACACTCTGTGAAGCCGATGAACTGTAAGCATGTGGATGAGGTAATTTTTGTCCATGTTGCATTTGTCATTAGTTTCCACCAATCTTCCCTTCAATGAGAATTTTCATGGCCAGAAATCTATTGGGTGCACTGGGAAATCTGAAAATATGAGAAAATATATTCTTTAACAAAAAATGAGCCTATTTCCTTATGGAAATCTCAGGATTTCCAAAAGGAAATGATTTGAAAACAATGTAGAACACATATAATTAAGTTCTAAGTTATATAGTTGATTAGGTATTAGAATGTTATTAGAATGTTCTGAGAACAACAGAAAGAATAACTTTTGTCTATGAAAGAAAAGCATTGGGAAAGGTTGAATGGAGTTGGCTGTGGTATTTATCAGTCAAAACTAGGTATGATTTGGGGAGTGGAGATTAAAAATGAGAAGGAAATTTTGTTTGAACAAAGGTACAGATAAAATTCTTGCTCAATCCTTTCACTCTCTAAACCTTACTTATAGAGAATAATGATCATGGTGAGCAATATTTAGAACAGAATTTCTCACTGTATACCTAAGTACCATCTCCAGAGATTTGGCTTTAATTGGTGTGAGGTGGGATTTGGGCACAGGTGTGTTTTCAAAGCATACCTGGTGTTGCCAGTGTGCCACCAAGATGAAAATCATTTATGGAGTTGGAGTGACTAGCAGGTTAGACCAAGAGTGATAGTGTACTGTGCCTGTTACAGTATAATAAACTCTACATAAATATTTCCATCATTTCCATACAGGTCTGCATTACTAGCCTGCAGGAAAGACATGGGATGATAGATTATACTATCTTTTTCACCTTGGATTCTCTGAAACTTCCTGATGGATATGTACCTCAACCATATGATGTTGTCAATGTGGTAATAGTGGAGAGTGTTCAGCTGTGCTGTGTTTGGAGAGCAGTTTCTATGACTCCAGTGCAAAGGTCATCATAACAAAACATTTTATTCTCTGCTCATCTTTTATTCAATGGCAGGAAATTGTCAGGTTTAATTGAAAAACTTAGTAAGCATAAACAGTATTTGAAGTTTGATTCTTAGATAAATCCAATTAAGATACTGGCTCAACTGGGCTCAGTGTCACACACCTGTAATCCCAGTGACTCAGGAGGTTGTGGCAGGAGGATTATAAGTTCAAAGCCAGCCTCAGCAAATTTACAAGACCCTAAGCAATTTAGCAAGACCCTGTCTCAACATTTTGAAAAATATTTCAAAAAGGGCTTGGGATGTTACTCACTAGTTAAGCACCCCTATGTTAAATCCCTAGTACCAAAAACAAAACAAAACAAAACAAAAACAAAAACATCAACAAAAAAAAAACATGCTGGCTCATTCTCTTGGGACCAGTTCACTTTAGGGGAGGGCCTTAATTCAAAAGTATTTGAAACTGGCCTGTAAGAAAGAAGTAAAACTCAATTAAATTTAAATTCTTTGTTTTCCACAGGCAGGAGTGGATTTTGTGATGGTAGAGACCTGGTATGGCCCTGAAGTAACTAACCTTCAGAGACAAAGTATTTAATTCCAGAGACAGCAGGGCCACCATGTTAATGGGCAGGATTTAAAGTTATAGATTGAAAAATAAATAAATAAATGAATAAAAATGAATAAAAGGGCATGGTGGCATATGCCTATACTCCCAGTGATTCAGGAGGCTGACTCAGGAGGATTATAAATTCAGGGCCAGCCTTAGCAACTTAGCGAAGCCCTAAGCAACTTAGTAAGACCCTGTATCAAAATTAGAAAAATAGAAAGGGCTAGGGATGTGGCTCAGTGACCAAGTCCCCCCACCTCCGCTGGGATCAATGCCCAGTACCAAATAAACAAATAAATAATTAAAATTATAGATTGCTTTCAATTTTAAGTTCCCCTAGGCTATATGTTCAGTATCCATTATTCTGTAGCATTTTCATCTCCTAACACCTACTCAATTTGTTATATTTATTGTTTACCTATATCCCTTCCCCACATTAGAATGTAAACTCCTCAATGGTAGGCATTTTTTTTTGGGGGGGGGGTTGTTCTTTCCATTAATACATCACCAAGCATTTAGAATAGGGTCCAAAAAAAATGGCAGATTACATGTTAATAAATGCAATAAAAGAATTATCTGAGCAGAACTAATGCTTACTTGTGGCTAACCCATCATTTGTTTTCTAGGAATAACTCATTAAGCAACTCATTAAGACGTCAGTTGATTTCTTACAGAATCATTCCCCCAGATTCGATGCATAAAATCTCAAAGTGGGTAAAGATCTTTGTTAAAAAGGTGTAGTCCAGCTCCATACATGAATCAGAGAGTGAAATTACAGCCCCATAAAGGAAGAGGAATTTGATTATTGTGGGTATGATGGTACTAAAAATCCCACAAGTATCCTTCATGAAAAGTTCTCATTCCTTCCTCAAACAACACATTTAACCAGGGAAATGTTCTCTGGAAAGAGCTACTTCAAAGCTTTCAGCATCACAGAGAAGTGGCTGTGAGCTCAGCCCCAGTCCTGGGATTCCTAATTCCACCATAACTCCCTGGCCCCCGGAATAAACAGGGTTTGCTTCTGGGTTTGTTTTACAGGTCTAGTGGGACCTCCCAACCATCCAGTGGTTACTTCTCCATTTGAAGGGAGTGGGGTAGTCAGGAATAGCTTGTGGAGGCTGTGTTTCCACTCACAAATTCTTGTCGATCCCATTTTACATGCCAGGCACTGGAGTGAAGCCAACAGGACCAAATCCCAGGCCCTAATGGAACTTGGCTTCTGTCACTGCCCCCTGGGCTTCCTGACCCATGGAGCAGGAACTCCCAGGAGAGAAAGGGTCAGCAGGAGCTGTGGCAGCTGTAGTTCCCTGGGAAAGTCATCATTCCAAAGCAGCTTCACACTCGTGGGAATCACACAGAAGTCACTGTTTGATGTGAGAGATGTGTGGGCCATGGATTCTGCCACCTCTCATTTGATTCTCCATTTTGACCAACATGGAAACATGTTCCCTGAGAGCAACAGTG